TTTTTTAGAAAGAGGAAAACCAATATAAATTTTTTAGATGGCTGTGGGTATTAGGGAAATGCTAGAACAATTCAGAACATCTCTGAAGATTGCATGAAGGGGGAAATCTGGTTTCAGTTTCATGACTGGAACTCTCCCGCTAAATCCATTTCTTTGAATGAATTTACAACACTAAACCAGGAATATCCAGACAGATGTATATCACTATACCAATTATTTATTTTAAAAATTAAATTGGATATATTTATTTGTGGATATGTGTAAACACTAGATAAGATCCTAAAGTGTAAAGATATACAATTGAGCACTAAAGTTAGAATCATCCAAGCCATTGTATTTCCCATCATCATGTATGAATGTGAGAACTGGACAGTAAAGAAAGCAGATAGCAAGAAAATTAACTCATTTGAGATGTGGTGCTGGAGAAGAGTTCTGAGGATACTGTGGATGGCCAAAAAGACAAGCAAATGGATCCTTGAACTCTCCCTGGAAGCCAGGATGACTAAATTGAAGTTGCCATACTTTGGACACACCATGAGAAGGAAAGACTTATTAGAAAAAGCAATAAAGCTAGGAAAAGTGGATGACAGCAGAAAGAGAGGAAGACCACAAGCCAGATGGCTAGACTCAATCAGGGAGATCATGGACCTGAGCCTGCAGGATCTGGGCAGAGAAGGAGAGGACAGGGGGATTCAGGGATGGGTCATACACAATTTCACCATGAGTCAGGGTTGAGTTGAAGGCAGTTAGCAACAAGAAGTATATAAACACATTGCTATACTTTTTAGTGACAGTACAGATTAATTTTTTAATTTAAAAAGGCTGACATCAATCTTGTATTATGTGAAAACTGGAAATTTCTGTAAAATTGAACTGTAAAATTCAATACAACCTGGTATTGACTGGAGGGGGGGGGAGAGAAAGTAGCCCCACTGCACAATTATAACAATTTGATGTCACATTAACTACCATAGCTCTGTTCTATTGAATTCTGGGATTTGTAGTTTAATGAGGTACTTAGAATCTCTATTGCACAATGTGGACTACAGCAGTAGGGCTATATGGTAAAGAATTCTAAGAACTTTATGAAAATGCAAATCCCAGGATGTCACAGGGTGAAGCCATGGAAGTTGAAGTGGTATCAAATAATTGTATGCTGTGGACACAGCCCAAGTGAGATCTGGATTGTAATGATTTGTACCAAACCCCCCATTCTTCTGGCATTTATTTCACAGTATACTTTGTTTTAAAGTAACTTTTTCCTAGTCAATATGTCCTCATTTCTACAGTTCTGCTGAAGCAGCAATTACACCAATAAGGAAGGAGATAGATTTCATGAGTCTCTGATGACATGAATATACCCCAGGGTTACTATATCTCACACAGTCAATGTAAAATACAATACACAAATGTATTATAGATCCTGTTGCCAGCATGCAGGTCTTAAGCTGGAGTTCCAGAGGGCATCAGTTCAGTGGCTGCCTGGTCAGCTAAAATGGAAACCATCCCATGGACATCTGTCCACATAAGGTTTCAACTTAGACCCAGGGGCTCATTCTTCACAGAGGAGTGAACAACAAACTGACAGTAATGACTTTTGGCAACTTCACTGACCTGGGCAAGGGTCAAACCGGTGACCCAAAACAGAGTAGTTTCTCTAGTCTTTCAGCAACCGCACCCCAAAAAAGCTGTGTACAATTTGCCATTGCTTCTGAAAAGGCAGCCCTACAAAGAAAACCTAAACAGTTCCTGAATTGCATCTCAGCAGTAACCTTATCAGCGTGCACTCCAGATAAAGGCTCACTTTTCACTGGGAGGAATCAAAGCCTTATTGATATGTGAATTATGAATGAAACCTTAAGCTTTTAAACTTTTAACCTGTGTGTTTCTAAGAAAAAAAATCCACGATGGTTTCAGAGTGGGCAGCTCTTACTGCTTCTTAGAGGAAGCTTTTTCAGTTCCTGTGAAATTGTTTATTCAAGTTTTAAGTATGTCAGTTGCAAAATAGAAACCTCTCAAGGTACACCTGAAACTCAGATCTCTGAGAGTGAATGTAATAATTTTTAAAGGCCGTGAAATGACACGGGATGAAATCTAATTTGCTTACATTTCATCTTCATCTCTTTCTAGCACTTTTGTTTTTTGTAATCAAGCAGGACTAATTCTACCCCTTCTTTGATTTAACTGAATCAAACAAATTTAACTGAACTTTTAAGAATCTTTCCTTCACCATAACATCAACTTGTACATCTATGGCAACTGAGCTGCTTGGTATTTTATAAACATCTTTAAGGGTCTATCCTGGGTCAACCCAGTTCTAAAATTAACAAAAGAGTTGTAAAATAATTCATAAATCTGACATTATAATTCATAGGTCCAACATTTTATGAATTCATAATTTTGTTGAGACATGGCATCAGTAGTTGATATCTATCAGCAACAGTTGAGGTTCCACAGGTGTCAACAGCTACTCTCTTGCCGACCCACTTTATACTTTGACTACTTTGCAACAGGATGAAATTTTTGATAATTTAAAATGACAGCTTTGAGGTATTCACTGAACACTGAACCACCATTGCCACTAAAGGGTAATGTTGCCAGCATTTTGCTGACAGCTCCCTTAAGTGATGCTCTGGTTTTATTATATCAAATTTGAAATATAAAAAGAAGAATCTAGTTGATTCTTAACTTTCTCCAGTTTCAAGAACTGCATTGCCATAAATGGGGGAGGGGTTAGGTATCACTATTTTAAAGTGACTTAAGGCCTAAGCAGACTGCCAGAAATAGTGCACATTAAATTGAGGCACTGCCCTGGCTCAGTGCTAGGGAGTCATGGGAATTGTATTATTTTCTGGGACATTGAGCCTTCTCTGTCAGAGAGCTCTGGTGCCACAATAAATTACAGTTCCCATGATTCCCTAGCACTGAGCCAGGG